CTAAAGTAACTGCAAGCTGAACTTGAACCCCTCAGGAAAGCGAGTTCTGCAGCAGCCCTTGTTATCCCAGGAGGTTGCCGCTTGTGGATCTCGAACAGCTCAGTCCTACTTGCAGTTAATTCAGTAGTTTTTTTTTTTCCCCTCAATAGTCTGGACGGTTGGAAAATCTTTTGATGTTTACCTTCTGCTTGCTTCTTGTCCTCAGCTACATACAACGAGTAAAATACCCATCCAGCACCCAAGATGGACCTTCCAAAAAGGCTGTAATTTAAAGATTTGTTTTTGGGGAACTTCGCAGACAAAGTACTTGTAGTACCAACGCATTTTATACTTTTGGACTGTTTTGTGTTTGTTTCTTTTTTTTAAGATGTCCTAAAAGCTCCTGATGTGAGACTGCAATATTTTTTTTTTTAGTTTCATCTTTTCAGTCAAATGTCAATACATGAAGGGTTTGTTTTAAAGCTCCAGACCGTCTTCAGTGCATGCTGGCTTTCATTTTGACAGCACTTTATTTTAGTTTTTTTGTTTTAGTTTTGGAGCTGTTCACTGTTCATTTTCACTGGAGAAGGAATAAGAAGAGAGGGTGTTTTTTTAACTTTAATTTAACGTGAAAAAATTAACCCAAAAGCTCTAATGGGACTTCGGCATGCTGTTCTACACATTCTAGTATATATTGGAAAAATATCCCCAATTTTGTTTTTAATTTTAGAAATGTTCTTGCACATTCGGAATGGAAGGTAGCTTTTTCAGCTTCCCACTTGCACATGGCTATAAAACAAGTTTCAAGGTTGAGCGACAGTTGTCTGTTCCTACCATGTGCACATCCTGTCTAAAATCTAGGGTTTTGTACAAGTGCACATCTATACAGAGTTTCTGCCTTTTTCTAAGAACAAGACAATATTGGAAATGTATCTTTTTACTGTCCTTTTTATTGGAAGAAGCTAAGTTGTATTTGAAATGGTTTAGGAAACGTTTGTATTAAAAGACTTGGCTTCACGAAGCCCATTAAAACCACCTGAATTTACTGTGATTTGTGGCTGTAACATGTCTCTTTTGCTTCCCTTTTGCACCACACAAACAGAGCCAGAAAAGTGCATTGACCTTAAAACTTGGTACATAGAATGTTTTCTTTTAAGTAGTTGCAGGTCGTACATGAAAAGAATGCAAAAGGATATATCCATAATGGGATGGATGGTGGGTTATTGTTGCACATGGTTTTGTGATTCTAGTAGAGAACTAAACTGATACTTCTGGAGATGCAGTCCCTGTGTTTTCACGGAGACCGCCTCATGCAAATCAAATTAAAAGGCTAAATCATGTGCAAGTAGCTCTGCTCCCCTTAGCAGGTAGCATCATACTGTATTTCCTGATCTGGTTTTAAAATGCCTGGGTATTAAGAGCCACTGGAGCTCCTGGATGAAGGCCCAGTTGCAAAGCAGGGAGCAGGGATTTGTGAACGGCTTCCCAACTAATCTCTGATCTTCGAGTCCTCAGCTGACTGTCCAGATGGGCTGGCTGTGCCCTGCTAGATGGGCAGCAGGGCTGTGAAATGTCTGAACAGAATGGGAGGGTGAGCTATGCGCAGGAGCAGGCTGGGATCATTCTGATTCCAGATGGTACTTGGGTTGATGATGCATGTTTTGTGCCAATTCAGTGTTAGGCTAGTTAAACTATCTTAGTGCACTAAACTGGGATGCACGGTTTTGTCCATTTAGCATTGGTCTGCTCTGTCTATAAAGGTACAAGTCGAAAGCAGAAGAGCATTTTGGCTACTAAATCCGCAGGTGGAGAATCTGCAGACAGCCTTTTCTGCCTTTTGCCATGGGATTGACCTTTTGTTGTTGGGCTGTGGGGTTTGGACAATGAGTGTGCTATCACACCCGCTGAGCCTGCAGTCCTGCGCGCGGTGGGGGGAACTGGCCTGTTCTTGGGTAATAGGCTGCACAGGAGGGAGGCAAATCCTGTCACAATTGGTGCGTTTCTTTTCAAGGTGAATCGATGGCGCACAGTAAGGCATTGTGCGGAGAGCCTCGTGGTCCTGCAGCACAGCTGGCTTCTAACTGCATTGCCTTAAAACGAAGAAACGACCCCGCCCCACCAGAACCTGCCCGGCTTTTTGTTTTGATACACATCTGTTGGGTGGACTTCAGAGTAGACCCTGTGCCGGCACATTCAGATGTTTCGTGCCCGAGTTTAAACACCCGGACAAGGGTCAATGGTAATTCGCGAGTGCTGTAGTGTCCTGTACCTTTAAAAGCACCGGGAATTCAGGCCTGAATTGATGGAATGCCAGGACGGCTCCAGTTGGCACATTGGGGGTTTGCTAGTTTTTTTTCCCCAGTACCTTGATTTTTTGTTATATACCCTTCCGGCTCGGAACAGCCCGTTGGGTAGACGTTGGAAGAACATGCCCGTTTCTTCCCGGGCCGGGGTGAGAGTACTGACCCTGGCAGGAGGAGTTTGGATGTTGCACAAAGCTTCTGTAGCAGGTGCACAGTTACTCCAGTGTGATGGTTTTTGTGCGGAGTAAGGAAGGTATAAGCACTAAGTAAGCAAACCACAAGGTGTTGAAAGGCATGGAAGGAGAGAAGGTGGCTTGGTGAAAGGCTGCCTGCCTGGTTTCTTTCCTGCCGATTAAAAGTCTTCCCGTGACGCGATCGGGCTGCAGCACGAAGGTGGCGTCTTAGGTTTGTCTCTGAATCTGCGTTTTTCCTCTGCAGGTAATGAGGCCAGCTGGTGAAGCAGGCAGAGGCGGTGCCTCTCTGGGCTGTGTGAGGGCCAGAGAGCCTCCTGTACCCCGCTGGTCCTGTCCAGCTCTCTGCTGCCAGATTGCCAGACCACGTCCTGCAGTGTCACAGCTCTTAACCGCTGCCGCAGCCTGTCCCTCTCCCTCCCCCCCCCCTCTTTTTTTTTTTGAACCTGCGGCCCCGGGTTCGACTCTTCGATAAGACACGCACAGTTGAGCACAGCTGGCGGTGTGGCTACAGCGCGGGGAAACGGAAGCTCTGCTCTGGGCAGTGGTGTGTGTGTGCGGTCGATCAGGTGGGCGGCCCGCTCTGCCCTGCAGGGGGGTTGTCCGCCAGCGTGGGGGAAGTGGGTGTTTTTGTCGAAGCCGAATTTTGTGATCTCTCCTCTCCTGGGGTTCTGAAGAGCGCGCGCCAGGGTGCAAATTGGGGACCCCAGCTCTCTTCTCGCCTGTGCCAGCGTTCCTGGCTGCCCTTCATCTGCGAGGGGACCACTGTGTCTTTGCACCAGGGTGTTTGTGCAGGGAGTGTCCGCAGTGAACTCTTGCATGGTGTCGAGAGCAGGTGTTTCAAGAGCCGCAGCTGAAGCACTTGGGAAAAGGCAGTGCAAGGGCAGGGTCACTACAGGACTGCCTTCAGGTCATTTCACTGTTTTTCTTCTGCACCGCCCTGTATCTGCATGATTGTTCTTAATAAAAAACATCCCGAAACACACAGTGAGCTGTCTTTCTGATTTCTCCCAGTTTGGGTTATTTTTAT